GAATATATTAGATTTTTACTAACATTACTAGTGTTATTTGCTTCAGATTTGTACATTCATTTTGGAACTTTCTGGTCTTAATTTGGCTTCTTCTGTAGGAAAAAAAGAATATATTACTGGTCTATATTAATAGTGGTCTAATTAGCAGTTTTGTTTCTCACAAAATTACAAAATTTCATACTACTCATTAATCTCTTGTGAATTTGAGTTATTATCTATATTTTTAAGGGTCCAATCATCCTGGGTGAATTTGCCAAATTTGGCATCTGCTAAACTGAGTGAAGTGAATCAGCACCAAGATTCCCTTCAGCCTTGAAATTTGGAATTTATATTTTGTTTAATTGGTTGATAAGTAAAAATTCAATGTTATTAATATGCATACATCAAATGCATAAGAACTATAGATAAATTGCATTGTGACAAATGTTATCACATTTTACATTCTTCACACAAATGTTTGAGAGGACAGAAAATTACTCATATTTTTCTGAATGAAGCATGTTAAGTGAACATGAAAAATGTACTATGAAATATAAAGAATGGAATGGATGTACAAAGGTATACAAAACAGACAAAGTAAGTTTATTCCAATTTTTTAAGTGTCTATTTTTAACACTTTATTATAAATCCTTTATTTTATTACAAAGAACAACTGCCAAGTAAATAATTATCTGACGAAAAAAATTCAAGGAAGTGATTTTGAGGATGTTATTTTTTTCAGATATGTAATTGTTTAATATGATATAAACTTTAGGGTGGAATGTATTAAGGCAATTACTTACTTAATTTTGCCCATTTTGCACCTTGTGATATTGAATTTTTTAGGGTATTGAGCCTACATGCTGTAATGAAAATTGTATACGATTTACAGATACCTACATATGACAATCTTCAAGCGTATATATGTGTCTGCTAATAGCAGATGCCTGTGTTTGCTAAGGAACCGATAATATTATATTTATATGTAATATCCTATATTGACTGATTTATTAATCATAAGCTTAATTCTTAGAAGAAGATATTTGTGTAGGATCTGCTAGTTTCTTGCCAAACATCTATGTACTCCTTTCTCTTTAGAAACAAAACCCAAATTTTTAGCTGGCTATATCGCTTCCCATAAGAGAAAGCACGTTGTCTTCCAGACATTTTTACAGCTAAGTTTTGCCATGAAACTGAGTCTGGCTTTGAGATATTAAAGAAAAATATTTGTGAGAGTTTTCTGAAAGTTGCTTAAAGAGAATGGACTCATCTGGAAGTTCAACATAGTTTTCTACCTTTCCTCTTATTTTTCAGTCTGAAAATCGCTGGTGATTGCTGGAACACCAATGGCCATAGTGGAACATAAGGTGATTCTGCGGGGAGAAATCCAGGTGCTGGGATTTATACAGGAAAAAGAAACTTTGGTCCTTCAGAAAATTATGGAGCCACCGTACCTGCCAATGGTTTCTACTTTCAGACTTTTTTTGCGTGTGAGAAGAATAAGGTTCTATCTTACTTAAGTCATTGTTATTTTTGCATTGCTATTATTATTAAGCAAGAATTCCAGTTGAGCCCAAACTAATACTCAGAGTGTGGTTATATCTGATGGATCCATAGATCAACATCCTTCACTGCCAGCTATTAGTATGTTGTCAAGGATAGTTGGAAGTTTATTTCTCTTAATATGAAGTGACTTGTTAAATCCGTATGTGACTAGGTAATAATGCTCTTATTTCTCTTTAGCCTAAACATTTGGACAGGAACAGGGACAGCCTTATAATCCTAGGCAATATCCTTAAACAGTAAATTTACTCATTCAATAAATATTTTTTTGACTAGCTATTAAGGATCAAATAAAGGAATGCTTTGCTATTTAGTCAACTCATGTTCATTTTTATATGAGTTACCTGTGAGTTTGGGGAAAGTAGAAAAAAGAAAAGAAAAATATTTGCCCCAAATAGTTGTGTTTTTAAATTTTTTTCCCTGTGTTTAAAGATAGGATTATATCAAATATTAATGCTCAGACTACAAGGGTTTATAGCTACCATTACAAAATTTCTCAGTACACCTGCCGCAAAGTCTCCCAGTTCTTTCTGGGAATCTGAGGGGGATGGATCTCAGATGTGCTAAGATCATTTTGTAAATATAAATCACCTACTGGCTGCTATGGTGTTTGCAAAACTCTTAGGTAGCTGTCTCACCATTCTGCCTCATGTAAGGGTCTTCCAGGAGATCACTCCTCTTGTACAAAAATGCTATATCCAAGTTCACTCAAGGTTACAAATTACCATGCTGTCAAAGGAGGCTACTTTCATGCTAAACCACTCTGTCCTGGAAACTGACTTATTTTGTTTAGAAATGAGGAGAGTATTTCTGTAGCCAGTTCTGTCACCTTGATGTACTACTGCTTATGATATACTACTATTGCATAGGAGTATCGCAGAGTCTCCTATGAAAACATTTCTGTTGGCTCTTTATAGTCCATTAGTATACATTATTATGCTCCACCCCTTGTGTCTCCATTGGAGCTCATGGGATATGAATTTTTATCTCAACAATTCTTTATTCTCCTATGAGTGTCAATGCATGCTAATAGTTTGCAGGGAGAACTACTGTATTATTACTGCATCAGACATAACCAAGTCCTTCTTTGGGCTCAAATGAAAACCCTGCTACACCAGAACTTAACTTGGACTCTAGATGGCTTTCATAAAACAGCTACTTGAGAATGAAGCTGTAATTTCTTGATACTATGCTGTATGTGTGTAATACATATATGTATTAACCATATTCCATAAAACTTGTAATTTGTATTAACATAATATGCTTGATACAATAGGCAGTGCCATTTTCTCAGTCATTTTTTTCAGTTGCAAAAGAAATATAAAAGGAATGCCACATGCTATTACATGTATTTTACTTATTTAGATATGAATACGAGTAATGTTCTTATAATATTCCCTTAAACACTGTTTTCATACATGCTGAAAACTTTCTATATATAGTTCAGATATTTTTTGGATTTATTTGAAAGGTGACCCAACAATTTTTTTCCTTTTGCAGTCTTCCCTTAGTAAATGCAGTTTCTGTTACTATGAGTAAAGGAGGTGTGTATGGGTAGAGGAGATATGGAGAGGCCAGTACTTTTGTAGATAAACACAATGTAAAAACAAGGGAATACTCCCTAATTATTGACACAGAAATAATGGCGAAGAAACAAAATTACTTCCTGAATCATATTTTATCACCTTACTGGTTGCAAAGAATATGTTTTGCCTCTTTTAATCAAATGAAAATCTTAACCATCTGAATTTAGGGCTACAAAGTATTTTAATAAGAACTCAGGATCCTTCACAGTAATGATCACAGTACTAAAATGTTTATTTAGGTAAAAAGTGGTTATAACCATTGAGAAACAATTTTATCAGTTTATCCAGTTGGAGAATGAAAAGAAAAAATATATATCACAAAATATTATAACATCTGCGGAACCCACAGTGTAAAGTTTATTTAAGACTACCAACTGTAGGAATGAAAATTCCAACACATGTAACAGTTAGGGCAATTTTTGGCTTAGTAGCGCATGTGGTAAGATTGAAGTTAAATATATATATATATATATATATATATATATATATACACATACACACACACACACATACATATATATATATATATATATCAAAGAAGGCATATGTTTAATCTATAATCTTGTTGAAAGAAGAGTCCCAGAACAGTAGCTTTTTCCTTTAAAGACTAGCCGGATGGGGACCTTTCTAACGGTATATAGAGCCATAGAAAGAGAGATTATAAATGCTGGGAGAGAAAGGCAGATACCATAACGTTTGTTAAAATCTAAAGAAAATGGAAACCAGCTTTGAAACTTCCTTGAGCAGACAAAATCGATTTAATCATTACTGCAGCTTAATTGCCAGTCACTGGGAAGACACTGCTTTCTCACTATGTAAGTTGTTTTCTAACGGTAAGCCCCAAGCCCCATTCCATGTTTTGGTTTGGGTGCTCCCGGTTTGCAAACTCTCTCTTCGGGGTGTGCATAATAAATTTTTACCGATTACTATTTCAGCGATTCATTGCTTTTACTTTGGCTATTTCTGAATCTTTGATAGGTTGCTTTTAAGATGGAGAGCAATCTACGTAAAGATGACTTGGACAAAATACAAAAGCTGTTTCCTTTTCAGTCATTTATGTAGAAATTTCTACTTAAGAAGAGGAGCAATGCATGTATTAGCGATTTCCATCATCTGTTTCTGCCCTGGCATGACTTACAATTTCCATAATTTGGCCATTGTAGTCAACTATTTGCTTTCTCATTAGCCTGGTATTTAATCTGTAATCCCTCTAGAACTAACTCTAAGAGGAAAACCCTCAGAAATTTAGGAAGTTTTGTTTGCCAATCAGGTGGGTTACTGTTGCTCTTTTCTGACAGCCAACAAGAAGCAATGCCTTAGACCTGCTTGGCTGCTGTCCTGGGTGGAATAGTTTGGCAGCCCTAGGGAGATGAAATTCTTCAGCCTGGGACACGCCCAGAGTAGAGAAGCAACACCCTCTCAGCCACTACTCTGTTGCTATGAAACAAAAGACTAGGAAGGTGAGCAAAGCAGGAAGTCCCGCCTTTTAGTCCCGGTTGGCTTGGGCTCCCGCTCCAACACTCACGCCCACCCGTCCAGTCCTTATTGGTCAGCTCCCTAGGGCGCTTGAATATTTTCTTCCATTTTTTTTCCTTTTTCACTTTCGTTCTCTGGTGAGTCCCGTACCCCCATTTCCCTCGGAGTCCCTTTTCACTTGGACCGTGCGGCCAGCGGGCCTTCCTTTGGGGCCATTGTGTACTGTGGAAGACGTGGACCGGGTGGTACTGCGAGTAGGACGAGCACCTCCCGCCCATTGGCGCCGCCCTCTGTCTGGCAGTGCAAGAGTTTAGGGGATTGGTCCATTCCGGCGAGACCCCGCCTCTGGCCCCGCCCCGCGCCTGGGTATCTGTGTGTGTAGCCTACGGGGGTGGAGTGTCCAGCGAGTGGTCTCCTCCTCCAGCTAAGTGCTGCTGCGGCGTCCCGCGGCCTCTCCGAGAGTCGGGCGGGAGGGGAGAGCGGGTGTCGATTGGTCTTAACGGTAATTGTTGCGTCTCCCCGTATCGGTGGTGCGTTGCTCCTTCCTCGGGAGCGTGCTTCTACGGCGATTGCTCCCTGCCCGGGCTACCCACGTACCGAGGGTTCGTGCGTGTAGAGTCGCACTCGTGCACACGCGTGCCTCTGGAAAGACACGGTGCCGAGAGGCCAGGAGGGAAGGGGGCACCGGGGAGGCTCGACGTTCCTTTCCGGCCAGGGGGCCCAGTGGCAGCCAAGCGCGGGCCACTGAGGAAGAGGGGACAGCCCCGGCTTCCAGCTGTCGTCGCCGCCGCAGTCACAATTTGAAGAGGGGTATTTAAAGACCGGAACCGGGCCGGGCCCTGGGAGGAGGAAGAGGGAGTAAAGCAAGACGGGCGGCTGGAGTCGCAGACGACCCCGGGAGGTGCGTCCACTCGGGAGCCGATCCCGGAGCGCCCTAGACGGATGGGGCTGGCGGGTGCCGGAGGCACGAGGGATAATTTGTCTTTTCTCCGTTCACCTTCCTCCTCAGCTAAGGTCCGAAAGTGGCAGGGGAGGGGCCTGAACAGGGAAGGGGGCACAGGCGTCCCGAAACAAAGCTTTGGACCGACCCCCCCACCCCACCCCCTTGGGTGAAATGAGAGGCTAGGAGCGAAAGAAGTGAACTCTTCTTTCTGTGCCCTCTATTGTCAATTTCTCACCCTCTTGTTTAAAATGAATTTTTGTTTGTTTGTTTGTTTCTTGGTTCTTTTGGCTCTTAACTTCAGGATAACCCCTCACCTCGTTGGTTTAAAGAATTGTATGTTCATATGTTTGTACTTAGTGGTTTTAGCGGGGAATATCCAAGTCCTAAGTCTTTGTTGACAACAGACGTGCCCTTATGCTTCTGTAGAAAAATCTTTACGTTTATGTAACTTGGTGAAATCCAGCAGAGGGAAAGGGCGGTTTTCAAGTGAGTCTCCCAAAAATGTTTCCAGGGGCTTCAGCTCTAGTATTTTGAAGCGGAATTTGAAGAGGGCAGGGAGGAGGAGAACATAATGTTCTTACCTAGTTGGAGGAAACCTATGTCAAGTTTTTTGTTGTTGTTTTGACTTGGGTGTTAATCAAGCCTTCGCTGCGTCTTTAACTCTTAGTGTTCCAAAAGCAAATCTAAGTTCATTGCTCCTAAACTTGAGTGTAGAGATTGAAAGTGCAAATTCATACTCTATGTAAAAGTTGAGTCTGGGACCCTGGATTTTGTTCTCACTGATGAAGGAGGATGTAGTATGTGCAAGTTAACCATATCAGTTTTCTGTTGGCTGAGTATTTTCATAACCAACTAACTTTTCTTTCTTTTAAATTTTCCTCTCAAAAGAACTAAGATTCCAGATGGCAAATTCTATGAATGGCAGAAACCCTGGTGGCCGAGGAGGACCACCCCGAAAAGGACGAATTTTGGGAATTATTGATGCTATTCAAGATGCAGTTGGACCCCCTAAGCAAGCAGCAGCAGATCGGAAAACTGTGGAGAAAACTTGGAAACTCATGGACAAAGTGGTAAGATTTGTCTGTGCCTGTAGTTGGCCCTATTCACCCTGAATATGGTTTCTCCAGTTTTATTTGTACTGCTAATTAATAATTATTGTTATGGCAACAATCTTTTGTATTAGATTGACCATTTTTCTTACATCCACTGTGTATTTTAAAATTTTGGATTCAGAACAAAGAGCTTTTTTCCCCTTTTGTCTTACTCTTCAAGGTTCCAAGTTTCTCTATATGACTCAGATATGCGAAGTTTTTAGTGTTGGCTGCTCTTTGTTGGTGCATGGCCATATAATACTATGGAAGTGTATGCTCTATCTGACGTGAAGTTGTGTTGCTATTAGATAACAAAAGAGTGCAAACAAGTAATTTAAAAAGTCTTTTATGGACCGCTTATGTATGGACAACCACAATGTATGATGCTGAGGATATTTGCAGGGGAAAAAGCAGATCAGTCCTTACATGAGGAAGCAGTATTTGAGAGAGTTTCCATTTTCGTCTTTGAGAATTCACCCTCATTAAGAAACTTTTTTGTTGTTAATGGGAGAGTTATAGTTTCTTTCATCTCTTCCATTTTGAAACAGGAAACCTTTTTGATTGCACATTGTTTATCATGAAAGGAAAATTTATGATGGAGGTGTGGGGCTGAGAGTATCAGAAACCTCTGTGGTTTCTGCATGTTGCTTTGAGATGAACTACAATTTCACAAGAAGAAATTAGGCCAGATGTCAAAACCAGAATTAATAGTTCTTTCTTTTGAAGCAGTAGTACTGTCCCCTAACATGTTGGTAGATGTTTTAGCATCTTATGGCTTTATTTGATAGATATGTGGGGCTTATCATAAATTTACTTGAGTCAGAGTTCTTGATATCTTTATAATTGCGGAAGTGGAGGTTTAAAAAAAGTATTCCTTTGTAGGGATATACTGAAACCTCCATAAAATCATGGTATCAGTTGCCTTTATTTTGGTTTGTAACTGTGTGCAAATATTTGCCACAAAAAGCCACTGCCAGTTGTATTAGCAAATATAAAAGGATGATAAGATTTACTTCATTTTCATTTATCCTTATGGAAAGTACAGATGGACAGATGAATGATAGGCTTGTCATTCTGTGACTGATGGTGCTAAATGCAGAGCCACAATATTTTTTGCCAGATAAGTATCCTTAGTTTGGGTTTAATTATGACCTATTTAAGCTTCTGCCAATTTATTCAAATTGTGATATTAAAGTGCTCCAGACAGAATGAAGTCATAGTGTCAGAACTACAACTTGCTGCTTGAGGTCAGATTTTGATTTTAGCATTGGGTACTTAAGAATGAGGAGTATGCAGTTGAAAAAATTGCATTTATTTGGCAGGCACAATACTAGCTGTCTTTGCTTTTCTAAAGAGGATGCAATTGAAGTCACTCTCATTGCCTAAATCATTATTTGGGCGTAAGAGAAGCAATGCAAGGTTTTTCTCTAACTTACCTGTTATTTGAGTGGGCAAAAAATGGGTCGGGTTCTCTCAAGGAGTGCTCCTCCCACTCTACCTGCTTCTTTGAATGGTCAGAATTTGTACAGAACATCAAATGAAAAAGATTTATGTACGAAGTGGTGAGCTATAGTTAATATAAAATTATTTTTGCAACATTAAAAATGTGTGCATAGTTGTGGTCTGTAATGGATTATTAACATAAGTTTTATCCACTTTTATTTATTTCATCATGGGTGATGGTAAGATAGATGGGTATTTGATAGTGAAGCTTCTGCCATTGTTTATTTTATTAACCCTTTTGTGGATTTGGGTGTAACCTCTCCATTTGAGAAACTTGAGTTGCAAGGAAGTCTATCTCAAGTCTCTACTTCGTGGAATGTGGGTGCGGGTATTGGAAAAGGTGCATTATATAGTTTTACCCCATTTGTCTTCATTATTTGTCAATGATGAAGTTGTTGTGTTTACTTATGAATGTGTTTGTGGGCTTTGTGGGGGGAAATGACATAAATCATTATAAAAGAGCTCAGTATGTTTGTTACTTTTCTATCACATAGTAATAAAAGGCATTGATAATTACTAATTGAAAATATATTGTATTTAATTGTATAATGTAGAAGCATTCCCCAATGTATTTATCTTTTTGTCCTTCTTTGTCAGTGGTGAAGGAAGTGGTTCATAATCTCAACATTGTCCTAGTGATCATATCAGGAACTTTATTATTAATCCAAAAGTTGAACCCTTGACACATTACCTGTTTTGTTAAACAACTGCTATAGTATGGTTTAACTATTATAATGAAGTTATAAAGTTATTCAATAGCATGAATAACAGAAAATCCTAATTTCAGGTCTAACTGTTAGTTATGTAAAAGGCAGGGTTAAGTGTTTAGTTAGCATTTTTTTCTTTATAAAGCCTCTTCAAGGGCACATCTTAGAAGTGTAAATAACAAAATATGCTTTAAGTTCAGTCTGTGTCACCTACATACACAGTAAGATAACTTATTTACAGGAGATATGAAGCAGTCCAGTAACTGTGTAGTTTTACCATACCTTGGCCTATAGAATTTAAAATGGTCAACTGAAATTCCAGTTCCAACTAATTGTTATATTTTCAGAAGGAAGGCTTTCTATACAAGGTCACTGAGAGTTGGAGGAGTTAATTGCTCAATGTGTTCCTTACAACATGTAAAATGTTTTGTAACAAAACTTCAGTTGTATCGAATTAGCATAGTAAATTTACTGAGAAAAAGAATAATAGCATATCCCAAAGCATCTGGTACTTTCTGGCCTTAGCTCTGTCAGTGTGAGTCACTAGCTGACCCCAAACTCTTTCAAGTGAGTTCATGTCTCTTTGATACAGTGATAGAACTATTATCTGGGTTCAGATATACTGAAATGTTCAGTCTGTTCCAAAGCTGTTGCAGAGATGAGGTTTCTTAAACACTTACTAAACATTTACTGAGGGCCTGCTATGTTCCTACTAAGTACTGAGGATGTAGAGGTAGGTGAGATATAATAACTCTGCCCTTGACCTGTCAAGGAATTCAGAGGCCAGCATCAGAGCCAGGCATAAAAATGGGTAATTGCCATGTAGTACGGGAAGGCTGTAATGCAGATTTAGGCAGAGTACAGTGGGAGCTACGCAGAAAACAACCACCTTGTTTTCTGGCCACTGTTCAGACAGTTGTCTGTCTGGATTCTGCTGGACCCTGCCTTTAGGGACAGCATTATTGTACTCTTGTTGGATACGCGTATGCTGAAGTGAGGGTAAGGAAATGATTGCTAATCAGTATGGTAGGAATGATAATTTATTAATGTGAGGTTCCTGAGCATGATTTTCACAAGCGTGATAGAAAATGGAGGAAACAATTTTCTATCTAATAGATACTAAATGTACTGAGCATATGTGGCCATTCAGGAAATTAAAAAATAATTAATTGAAGCCTAAGAGCAAAGCACATTGAGTACCTGCCTGCATTTTTGTCTTGCTGTCCTTGTCATTTATTTGAAATTACATTACTGAGTTTTAAAAGCCTTTAAAAAGTTATGCTAAACAGCCGTTTGTGCTTTTTACCCTCAGTACATTTTAGTGTATTAGTCAAGTTTGGAATAAAATTCATTCTTTATCTTTATAACTTCATCGTGACCATAATATATTTGAAAGTTTGTCAATCAAAGAAGCTTGGATTATATATAACTATTTGTTGGGTTTAAGACTATCATCTTCCTTGGGCCCTTGGGACAGGGAATACCATTCATTTAAATAATTCTTCGCATACTTTCTTTTCCTTAGTGAAGCTGTTCTGTTAGCAGAATCATGGGGCCTGGTAGGTTTAGATAGATGATAACATGAAATGTCTGGGCAATTTTGTTTAGTACAGGGTTGGGTTTTGAATTTGTGCTTAAATAAATGAATTGATTCCACAGTTTGCTACTGTCACTTTTATTTTTTTTATTTAGTTTTATTTTTTTAAAAAAATTATTGAATTTATTGGGGCGACAGTAGTTAATAAAATTTAGGTTTCAGGTGTACAATTTATACTACATCACCTGTATATTGTATTATGCATTCACCACCCAAAGTCAAATGTTTCATCACCATTTATCCCTCTTTACCATCTTCCATGTCCCCTGACCCCTTCCCCTCTGGTAATCACCATATTGTTGTGTGTGACTATGAGTGTTTTTTTCCCTTAATCCCATCACCTTTTTTACCCAGCCCCCAAAGCCCCCTTCCCTCTGACAGCTGTCAGTCTGTTCTCAGTATCCATGAGTCTAATTCTATTTTGTTTGCTTATTTTGTTCATTAGATTTCACATATAAGTGAAATCATATGATACTTGTCTTTTTCTGACTGGCTTATTTGACTTAGCATAATGCCCTCCAGGTACATCCATGCTGTGTTACCTATCATTTTTAGGAAAAGCTTTTGATAAAATAAAAATAAAAAATTTAAAGCAAGCCTCCCAAGAGTTACTTTGGCTTATCCTTGTCAGACAGGGCATACGTGTAGCAAACGCCTTAAGTAGTTAGTACTATTTTAACTGGTATAAAATTGTAGTCATCCAGATTTTGAATCAACTAACTTTATTTCAGAGTTGCTTTATATACTGCTTATTGATTTTTTCTTTCATTTACTACATCTGAACTGTAGAGAGAGATTCATAATTAATCATATTATCCTGTAAAATGTAGTAAGTGCTGTAATATGTGAGGTAGCGTGCAGTGGAGGCCAAAAGTTGATACAGAATGCAGCATGGTGGAGGTGCAGTCCAACTATTAATTTGTATGTTTTGGGTTCCAGTGAGGTAGAGGGTATATTAGGTTGAAGGAATAATAGATAAAGGGAGATTGTGGAGGGAGAGAAGGTATGTTAGCCGAAAAAGAAGGGGCTTTACCACTCTATCAAGGAATTTGAACTTTATTATGCAGACAGAGAACCACTGAAGTCTTTGAGCAGAGAAAAAGTCAAGGCCATGGTGTGACAGATTACTCTCTTGAATCTACAGAGGAGGATTAGAAGAAAAGGAACTTAAA